GTGCAGAGGTATGTACCCCCAACTCAGGGCCCAGGAAGGCGGCTCTGGGATCTCGCTCACTCCTAGGCCTGCAGGGCACTCACTGGGCCCCGGCCCAGCTGGTGGGAAGAGTGAGTGGGGTCCCCCACCCCCCCTTCCTGGCGGCACAGCAGGAGTCGGCCTCTCCTCGCGCCCTGGGCCTTTAGGGCCCTTTTTGCCCAGATGTCCTCCCAAGCGTGAGGCCTCCAGTTTTATTTTCTTTAGACGCTTGTACTCTGCTCCGCCTCCTCGGGACTCTGCCCCCTCGCCCGACACCCAAGCCACTCGGGGCAGCGTGGGAGTCCCGAGGGTGCAGCCGCCTGTTGCTTGCAGGGAGCCCCAGCGGCCGGCCCTGGCCGTGACTCGGCACACGGGCTGCTCCCGCCCTCGCCTGCGCTGTCCCATCTGGTCCGCAAACCTGCTCCTGCGCGGGAATACAGAGAGCGACACACACACACACGCGCGCGCGCCTTCGGGCAGGGCCGGGGCCTGCTCCCGGCTCCTCACACCTGCCTGGGCCCTCAGCCCAGCCGCTGGCTCTGGGGCTGTGCCGCAGACCGCGCCCCATGTCCGCCACCCTCTGAACCCCCCTTTCCCAGCTCGCGGATTACGCCTGTCGGGTCTTGCGCGCTTCCACCCCTCTGCGCTGCCAGTCACGGCCGCTGGGGGCGCTGCCTTGCCGGGCCGTTCGCGCCCCAGTGTGACTCACCCTCCCGCTCCGGTGCGCCGGTGCCCCCGAAGGCCAGGCCGCCCCCGCTCGCGCGACCCTGCCCCCCGGCCTGCACTCAGCCTCTCTTGGGGCCCCCAAGAGGCCCCCACTCACTTCCCACCAGCTGGGCCCGGGCCCTGCAGGCCTCAGAGTGAGCGAGATCCCAGACCCGCCTTCCTGGGCCCGAGTTGGGGGACACACCTCTGCCTCTGGGCATCCGCTCCTGCCGCCACCCGAGGAGGCGAGTGCCTCGCCCGACCCAGAGGCCACTGCGCCAGGCCTGGCTGCCGCTCTCCCTGCCCTGTGGTGTCTCCCCAGGCGGCCCCGAGTTCCTGCGGACCCCCCTGGGCGGCAGCTTCCTGGTGCACGAGTCCTTCCTGTACCGGCGGGAGAAGGCGGCCGGCGACAAGGTGTACTGGATGTGCCGGGACCAGGCCCGCATGGGCTGCCGCAGCCGGGCCATCACGCAGGGCCAGCGGGTGGCCGTGATGCGGGGGCACTGCCACCCGCCCGACCTGGGGGGCCTGGAGGCGCTGAGGCAGCGGGAAAGGCTCCCCAGCCCCGCCCAGAGGGAGGACACAGGTGAGGCGGCCGCGGCTCCCGGCCTTACCTGGCGGCCTGGCGCAGGGACTCGCTCCTGCACTAAGGGGGTGGCTGCCCATCATGCAGCCCCTGGGGGGGGTGCGCCTGGCCAGCCCCCAGCTCCCTTCGGCGCACTCAGTTCTGTTTTCCGCTCCCTTCCCACTCCCGGTTCTCCTGGCACCCCGAACCCTGGCAGTCCTTTCAGAGCAAGTTTTTAGAGGTCTCCCGAGAGGGTCCAGTTGGCTGCCAGCTGGTTGAGGGGCTGGGCCCTGGACAGTCCAGACAAGCGTGGGCCTCCCGGACGTGCCAGCCCAGGCCCTGCAGACTCAGTCTGCACGGGGGTGCCGGCCTGGGCCAGGGCCTTCATCCCCAGGGCCCGAGCAGGGCAGCGTGGGGAGCCTGGCGAGCCTGGCCAGGGTGGCCTGGGGAAGGGCAGTCTGCCGCCCAGCGGGGCTGGCTCATGGGGCCACAGCCTTCCTGGCACGGCTCCCACAGATCACATTCCCTCAGGGACATCTCAGCCTCTGGAGTTCCTCAGGACGTCCCTCGGGGGCCGCTTCCTGGTGCACGAGTCCTTCCTGTACCGGAAGGAGAAGGCGGCCGGCGACAAGGTGTACTGGATGTGCCGGGACCAGGCCCGCACGGGCTGCCGCAGCCGGGCCATCACGCAGGGCCAGCGGGTGACCGTGATGCGGGGCCACTGCCACCCGCCCGACCTGGGGGGCCTGGAGGCGCTGAGGCAGCGGGAAAGGCTCCCCAGCCTGGCCCAGCAGGACCCAGGTGCAGGTAGGGTTGGGGTGAGGGGTGGAGCAGAAGAGCTGTGGCGCTTGCCCCCCCCACCGCCCCCCGCCAGAGCCCACCAGGGCACAGCGCGCCCCATCTGTCCGCCCTTGCAGCCCCGCCCCGCCCGCTCCGCCCTCTCCCCCGCTGCCTCTCCTCCTGTCTGCTGTCCAGAGGGAACATCTGAAAATCAGGTGAAGATGCGTGCCGCACACACCTGGCACCTGTGCACACACGCTTGCTGCACGCACACTCGATGCACACACATGCGGGGGACCAGCCCCAACTATCGCGTGTCCGGAGGCGAGACAGGCAGGCCCTGAGGTGGGAAGGCATCGGCGAGCGGAGAGTCCAAAGGGAGCGGGGAGCAGGCACGAGGAAGGCACGGGGGTCGGAGCTGGGTGCATCTTCCTGCCATGCCCTCCGCAGGTCTTTATCTACAGGTGTAGCGAGTGGCTAATTGTAATAATGCACAGGGTGAGTTCATGGGAGATCGCCGTAAATTGTCATAAACGTTCTCAGGGACAAGGGGAACAAGGCATTTTTCTCATAACGTTTTATGATGCGCTAGATTGCACATGTTTGTGATGATGGTCATGGGTACGGCTGTTTAGTTATCACTCAAGGGAAAAGGGGTCTGGGAAGGGGTGAGCTGGTTAGCAAAGGTTATTGGGGGTCTTGGGGAAGTAATAAATTGCGTTAGCAGTGTGGTCAGTGACTGTCTACAGAAAAGCTAGTGGCTAATATAAAGCTGGCAGAGGGGAGTTAGTGCTTGTTTAGAAAGCAGTAAGTTAAGGGACAGTTGTGCAGTTGTGTATCAAGCAACACCTGTGTAAACACGGTTAAAAATTGTCCATGAGTCCTTATGCCCTGGGAGTCTTATCTGAGATTTGCTTTTTATTTTAAAGAAACTAAGGAAGCTTCCCAGGAGTTTTTGTGCCCTGGGTTCTTAGTTCCCAGGGGCTTGCCTTCTGTCTCAGGAGACAGGAATTTCCCGCCCTGGGGCAGCTGGCCGGGGCCAGGCAGCTCCTTATGAGGCTGAGGCAACCCAGTTGTAAACTGATGGTCGCTCAGAATAGTTCGATATTGTGATTATACAAAAAAGGGAGGTCGTCACATAAGTTAGCGGTGGAAATTCTGATTTTTCAGAGCGTTTCCTATTCTATCCGGAATTTGTCAGCCGACAGAAGTTGCATAGCTTGTGTCACACATGCGCACAGCTTTGCCAGTAACGAACCTCTCTGAACTGAAAGGGGGTCCCTCATGTAAACCCAACACCAGCCAGTGTGTAGAAGTGTGAGTGTCTCATTTTCACTCACGTAAATGTCCAGCGACACCTGATTTCGCCCAGCACAAGAGCAGAGGCCCAGGGCAGTGCCCTCAGGCCCACGCAGGTGCTGGGCACCTCTGGCATGGCGGACTGGCCCCCGCAGGCCCTCGGCTCAGCCCTTGATGACGAGGGCTGGCGGCTCACTTCTGGGTCCGCAGATCACCTGTTTACCAGGCGCAGGGAGTCTGGGGGGCTACAAACCTAGGGACCCCTCTAACCAGAGCCGCGCGGCTTGGTCGCCTTGCCTGGGGCCTCAATCTGGGCCGTTGGCTCTAGCAGCTTCTACAAGGAGAGGATTAACCCATGTTTTCAACTTTGTTTCTTCTCAGAAAAGACAAAACTTCTGCCTGAAGGTCAACTGTGCTTCAAGACTTGTTCTCCTGACAGCCAGCAGAGCTGCGGGTAATTGTGCTCATTATCTAACACGGCATCACAAATGACCCCACGATTTAGTGGCTCAAAGCAAAGTCACTGGGCCACAGTCCTGCGGGTCCGAGCTGGGGCAGCTGGGTGGCTACGGCAGCGGGGCCGTCACCCGTCACCCCGGAGCCTGAGCAGGCGCCTCCTCGGGGGTGGGCGGGGGCTGGGGACCGCCGCCGGGGCTGCTGGCGGGGACCAGAAGCAGGGCGCTGTTCCCCCAAAGGAGCGGGTGAGGGCAGCCAGCGGTGCCCAGACTCGGGGCCCTCTCACACACGTGACTCACTGAAGCCCCGAACCAGGACTCCCCAAACGTAAGCGGACGGAAACCTCCCCGAGCCTTCCCCTAGCAGTGGCCTGAACTCAGAAGCAGAAGCAGAAATAAATTTGGGAAACTGACAGATATGCTGAAACGAACTCTCGAGGGGCCCCCGAGTCTAAGGCAGCCACAAAGCAGCCAGAAAGCGTGACCAGCGTAAGGGGGAGCCCGAGTCCGAGGCGCAGGAGGGAAGGGACCCCCCGGCGGCCTGTACGGGCCAGCACAGGCCGCAGAGCCCGGGCTGAAGGACGCCCAGGGCAGAGACTCGCCCACGCTGGAGGGGGCAGCGGCGGCTGGCGCGTGCTGCCCTGAGGGGCCTGTGGCGGGCGAGACGGCGGCTTTAAGCTCCAGCCTGCCCGGCCCCCGCCGGTGTCCCAGTGCAGGCTGCCGGCCACTGATGGAGCCTGGGCACAGCCCTCGCTGGCAGGAGAGCAGGGCCTGGGGCCACGACCCGGCGAAGGCATCACGAGCGGGGCCTCCCGGGGCGCAGCAGACCCTCCCGCTGCCCCTCGGCCGTGTGTCTCCGGGGAGCCGCCTGCTCGGCCCCGCTGTCTCTGGGCGTCCTCTCACCCCCACCTCCGGCCTGACGCCCAGCTCTTGTGTGCACCAATAAATACATCTTAAAAAATGATGAGCGCCCACGGGGATGACAACTGAGATGGAAAAAGGCACAACATGATGTAAAAATAAACTATTATATCATCTGAAAAAACACATGATCTACAAAGACACCAGCGACGGGAACCCCCCTCGGGTCGCGGAGGACCCTCGTGAGCGCCAGCGAGCCGGGGCTCAGCCCGCGCCAGGTCGCGTCAGCGCCAGGGAGGGTGTGGGGGCAGCGGCCGCAGGCCGGCGCAGGGACCCTCTTCTGCCGGACGGCCCCCCGCGTTGGAGGCTCAACGTCAGTGACTGCGGCCAGGCCCCCAAAACCCCAGCTCAGCCCCGGTGACCCTCCCGCTGGACACACGTCACACGGGGGCCCCAGCGCCCCGCTGGAGAGCCCAGCTGATCCGAGCGCCTCGAGGGGGGGCCTGGAAGTGGCGCCTCGTCCTCTGCGGACCTCGCCTGTCCACGAGGGTCACTCCGTGCTCAGCTCTGAGTCCTTCTAGCGAAGTCACCCAGCCAGGTGACCTGGGGTGGCAGCGCACCCTACCCATCGGACTGAGGGCAAAACCCACGCGATCACCGAGTCCCCAAGAAGCTCTGGGCGGAGCCACCCCCCACGACAGCCCGAGGCAAGCTTGGACTGGAAGGCTTCTCTCAGCCCGACGCCGAGCCCTGCCCGGCTGCAGCCCCGTGACGCACAGCCCGGCGCAGGACACTCAGACCAGACGGACGCACCAGGCGGGCGGGAGCCGCCCCTTGGGTCACCGTCCTCGGGAGGCCCCGACGCCCGGCCCTGGGCACGCCGGGCAGGGCCGGGGCCGGCTGCGATTCTGCTCACTTTCAGTGAAGCTGAGGGTGAATGAGAAGACTGCGGACAGCATCAAGCAGAATAAAGCATTTGGGAATGACTGCGCTTGGCTCCTGAGACCCCGCCAGGCCCAGCCAGCTGGGGGTCACCTTTCCACTTAAAGCGAGGGACCCACAGGAGCCGCTGCTGACCGGCGGGTCGCAGCAGGACAGGGCCTGCGCTGCTTGGCTCGCGCAAAACAAAACGTCTGCAGCTGGGCGGCGCCCAGGGACTCCCAGCGCGGAGGGCGCCTTCTGGGGGGGTCGGGGTGCCCTGTGGGCAGGCTAGTGGAGGGAGACGGGAATTCCCAAATTGCATGTTGTGGGCGGGCTCCTGCTCTAACGGGGCTGCCAGGTGGGCGCGTGTGACTGGCGTGAGGCCGCCCGCCGCTCCTGCCCGTCCAGCCAGTGTGTGTCTTTGCCCTCAGGGTGGTCACCGAGGTGAAGGTGGAGAGCGAGAGCCAGTGAGAGTCTCGGCCAGTCGGGCGCGCTCCGCACCTCACCCACCCAACCCCGGCGCTCCCCACCTGTCAGTTTCCTGTCGAAACCGCCGTCCACTCTTCCAGCGCTCCACGAGGACGAGAGGACTTCCCGGTGGACGCGAGGCCCCCGCTCGGTGACAGGAGCAGCGCCCTCAGCAGACCCCTCCCCTGCCGGGTCCCGGAGGAGACCGCCAGGGACTCCCCAGCTGGCGCGGCCAGCTCGGCCCTGCGCTTCTGGCTGGGCTGCGGCCCCGCACACGTGCCCCAGGACGGGCCAGGAGGGCCTCTGCTCGGAGCCACCCGCTGCCGGGCGCGGGCTGGACGCAGAGGCCCGCCTGGCCTTCTCTCCCGTGCTGCCTTGGAAAGAGCCTGGTGTCTCGGAGTCCTGGCAGGGCCAGGCCCGTCCGCAGGGAGCTAGAGCGGCAGACCCTCCCTGTGAGCAGCGTGTCCACTGTCTGGAGCAGGAGGCCGCAGGCGTGGCCATGGGCGCAGCTGGGCGGGGGGAGGGCAGAGCCAGCCTGCGGGCCGGGAAGTGGCTGGTCCCGCTGTCACAGGCCGTCCTGGCCGGGGCCCCCACGCCTGCCTGTGGCCTTCGCCCGGTGAGGTGGCCCCCACGCCTGTCACCAGCGTGGCGGGGTGCCGTGTGTCTGCTTGTGTATCTCCACCAATAAACCCTATTTTACATAGACTCGGGCGGAGCTGCTGTGTTCACAGCCCCTGACAGAAACAGCTGGCCAGCCGGGTCACAACAGGTTCGGACAGCTGCCCCAGACGAGACCACGCACCTGAGGCAGGGCCAGTCACCTGGGGCAGGTGGGGGCTCGAGGGGCTGCTCAGGGTCCCAAGGCTCCAGGGCCCGCCTCGGCCTGGTGACCTCCCCATCTCCTGTGGCTGAGAGGGCCGGCCTGCCGCCCCCTCCCCCCGCCCAGCCTGGCCTCCTGGGTGCGCCTGTAAGCTGGGTGGGCTTGGAAAGGGACCCCCAGAGGACGACGCTGGTCCCTGGGGGCCTGGCAGCTGTCCCACCACTCTGAGCTGCCCATAACCCCTGAAGGGGTCACTGTGGCCCTTGGGTGGGGCCACAAACAGCCCCGGAGGCAGCCAGGACCGGGCAAGGCCCCAGGGGCAGGTCAGCCAGGACCTCAGCCTCTGTGGTGTCCCGGGACACGGAAAGGTGGCCGCTAGGCCTGGAGGGGGGCACTCCTGTCCGACGGGCATAGAGGTCCCGCTGTCCAGCAGGCGGGCACTACGCACACCCCTGAACTCAGGCATGTGGGTGGGGCCGCCTTGGCTGCAGCTTCGCCAGACTTTGCAAGAGGCAGGTGGCCGGCCTCCCCGGGCGGGAGGAGAGGCGCTGCGGGGAGGGGCTAGCCGGGCGCGGGCGGGGCGCCGGGGGTGACTGGGAGCCAGGAGTGGAACCGTGCCCCCGCTCGTGTGCCGAGGTCCGAACCCCCAAGGTGACAGCTGCAAAGTTCACAGTGACGAGCTGAGATGCCAGGCCGGGCTCCGGGCTCCTGCTCCCACCGCTGGGTCCTTGGGCACAGACACGGGCACGCGGATGTGAGGGCCAAGGCAGGGTAGGGCTGGCGCCCCGGGGCCCCTGCCCGCCTGCCGCCTGGCCCTTGAACGTCCAGCCTCAGCCAGTGCTTCACAGGGGGCTCAGGAGAAGAGGCGGGCGGCCCCCTCCATGCCCTCGCCCCTCCCAAGCAGGCCCCGCCCCACCCCGCCCCGCCCCGCTCCCGCTGCCTGCCTGGAGGAGAACGGGCTGGCAGCCTTCGTGCCTGCGAGGACCCTCCAAACCAAAGAACCTGTGATCTTGCGAAACGCGGGTTCTGACCAGGGGCAAGTTGGGGTGCATTTCTGACATGCTTCCTAGCAGAGGGTGCCGACACCCCGGCCCTCCTTTCAGCGTCGAGGGGCATCACCCCGCCTCACTGGCCGCTTGACCCAGGGCTGGGGGTGCGCTCGTCACGGGTGCCTGGGCAGGAGCTGGGGCGGCCGGTCACCCCCCTTCTGCAGCAGCAGTAGCATGGCTGCCAGGGGCCCCGCTCGGGCTACGACTACAGAGGCTCTCAGAGGTGTGGGGTGCAGCGAGGGGCCGTGGCCGGAGAGGTCTGGTGCAGGAGCCGGCAGGACCCCACTGCAGGGCCTGGGCCTGGAACCGGCCTCCTCTCCTCCGGGGTAGGCTCTGCAGGGGGCGGAGGCCAGACCGGGGCTAGGGACCAAGGTGAGAGGACCCAGTGGACAGTGGCTTGGGGTCCATTTCCTGATAAGGAGGGGCCGGTCCCCTTCCCACCTGTGGCTGCAGACTGGCCACGCGCAGCCTTTCCCCCGAGGGGACTGACCAGCAGATGAGTCTCCCCGGCAACCCCCAGACAGGCACTGGGAGGCCGGCCGGCCAGCCCTGGCCTTCGGAGGGCCCCCAGGAGGCAGCCCCTGCCATGTCTCCATCTGGCCTCCGTCTTGGTGAGGCACCTCCCTTTAAAGTTCCCCCATCCTGGAGGGACCCAGACCGGAGCCTGGTGAGGGTGTGAGGCTCTGACTGAGAGGCCAGAAGGCCCCACGCACCCTGATTTCGCTGGGACCCGCGGGGAGACCCCAGTGAGGAGGGCCTGCCACAGAACAGGGGCAGGTCCACCCCGCGGGACAGCCTGGGGGCACTTGGCGAGGGGTGGGGAGACCTGCTGGGGCTGG